GCATTTTCCCTTGCTAGGTCCTGAAGCTGTTTTAGGGTTTCCAGCAGACGAGGACGTTCAGAGGTATCGAGCTCGCGAACCAACCTAACGGCTATACTTGATGCACCTGCGGGAAATTGAAGAGTGCTTGAAGGGGTGCTGGGGGTTCTTGACGCTCCGTTGGATGCCTTCCATTCTAAAATCTCTGCCCTGAGATCGAACACTGGGATAAGGACTGTGGGGTCGACTGGCACTCTATTTATCGGGCACGTGTTGTGATTCTGCAACCAGCGCTCGATAGCACTCCTCTCGTATATTCGCCCTGAAGTCAATATGACAGGGTCTGTCATTGGGTCACGTGTGAGAGGGCACAAGAACCTCTCTGGTGGAGCCGATAATTCTGCCTGCTCCGTCCTAGCAATCAGCTCAGCGATCTGCTTCAGATACTCCTCTTCTGAGGCCAACTTCTGAGCAATGAGCATCTGTTGTTCCTCTCCCATAATGCCAACGAGCCTAAGCATCTGAGCATCGTTGCCCAAAACCTCCTCCTGGAAAGCTGTCAGCTCTGCCAAAGAAAACACTCCCTGCCGTGCTAGCATCTGGACAGTTTCGGCAACAATTTCAGGCTCTGCTACATCCAGGTCAGAGGCTTCCGGAGGAATGTCATCAACCAGATCCTCTTTCACACGGAGCGCTTCATATGTATTGACGTCTGCAATTAAATCTTTTAACTGCTCCAAGTGAGGCTGGCTTGCACGAGGAACACTGATGAAGAATTGGTAATCATGAAGACAGGCTGATATCGAGGTGTTAACATCGACTATCTCATCTTTGATGGCTTTGTAGTTGATCACCCTGTACACTGCCCCTTTGCCGCAGTTTCTGAGGACCTCGTATGCCCTCACAAGGTGTTCTTGCAGTTGCTCCAGCGCACCAGCAGCCGTGTCGTGAATTGGCCCACTAGCAATAACCTCCTTCAAATACTCCATCAGAAGCTCACACCTGCGAACCAATTCCGCACCCTTTTTTTTATGGAATTGAAGGCCTGAGCGCATGTCTTGAATTTTCACCACAAGATCGATGCATGTCTTCACACATTTAAACACGGCGGTGGGCTCCATCATGCCGCAATCCCTCCGAAAATGCTGTAAGGGAATGATTTTGGGGAACGGTGCCGTGCTGTGCTGTGCTGTGCTGTGCTCTCCTGTGCTCTTAAAACCGGGCACTCGATGGCAGGCAAATGACCAGAAATATGCCCGGGACTGTGCTGTGCTGTGCTGTGCTCTCCTGTGCTCTTAAAACCGGGCACTCGATGGCAGGCAAACGACCAGAAATGTGGTCAGGTTCCCAAGTTGCGTGGACCGCAAGGTCATTTTTCAGCTTGCGTGGAACGCAAGGTCCCGCCCGGGCACTCAGAATCAGCATTCTGCCGTACCTGGTACATTTTTTGACCCTGAGTTTTCACCGGCCACGCAATGGCAGGCAAAAACGATAAAAAGTGTCCGGGGCTGTGCTGTCCTGAGCAATGCTCGTAACCGGGCACTTAATGGCAGGCAAATGATCAAAAAAATATGCCCGGGCCATGCTGTGCTGTGCTGTGCTGTGCTGCGCTGTTCTCTTCAACCGGGCACTCAATAGCGGGCAAAAGTCCTCAAAACGCCCGGGACTGTGCAGTGCTTGGCCGTGTTCTTTCACCGGGCGCGCAATGCGCTTAGAGTACGATGCCGGCGCATGATCATAGCGGTCATGGTGGTTATGCGGGTCAGCAGCCGGGTCCGTATCAGGTCGAAAGTCGCTGTGCTGAAAGTAAATGCATTGCATTTTCACAATGTTTGGTGCAGTGCGTTTTCTGCATGTCATCTGAACATGTGACGGTTTCTTGGGTCATGCAGGCACCAGGTCATCCACGTCAGAGGCAACAAGCACATGCTTTGATAGACAGTAAATTCAAGCTTTCAATTGTTCCGGGCTCCGGGCTCCAAGCTGGACTCCAGATATTGTCTGTAAACGCATGGGAGAAGCGGTGCAAGCCAACTCTTGAAGAGCAAGCCAACTCTTAAAGCCAATTAGGGTTCCATCTTCTCTGCTGTATTCCATGATCTGGTCGGTGGCCCCTCTCTGCCACTCTCTGCCACTCTCTCTCTCTCTGCCACTTCTGGGCAAGGGCAACAGCCAAGCCATTTCACCTATGTTCAACCAGATTGCTCGCCCCATCGACACCTGTCCTGCCCCTGCAGATGACCCTGCACGTGAGATAGAGGTCGAAGACTGTCCCCGTGAGGAGCGCTGTAAAGAACCTCTGCGGAGAAGCCAACAAGTCTCTGAACGAGTTACGATCTGCAAGGAAGAGGCTCAGAGATGACTATGATGAGCTCATATATGAGAGGCATGAGCTGAAGGATAGAAGGGATCAGCTCAGAAAAGATGTTGACCACTATGCAGATAAGAAGAGGTGCTTGCAGGAGGATGTAAGGGCGCTTGAGCGAAAGAAGGCAGCGGTCGCAGCAGAAGTTGCAGAGGCAGCAGCAGCAAAACAGGAGCTGGACAAGAGTGTTGCAGAAGCAATGGAAAAAGTAGAGTGCTGCCACCAGGAATACACGAAAGAAGAAGAGCGCTCGAGAGCGATCAGGGCAAGAGTGTGCGAGCTAGAAGTGCAACTAGAGGTGTCCAAAAAATGTCGATTGTTGTGAATGATGTGAACGCGGCTTTAATTTCAACCGTCAATGGCCGCCCGCCACTGCACGTGCCGTCCAAGTGGGAGGTCGCTAAATTGTGGCCTCGGCCAAGTCCGAAGAGGGTGGACATAAAGGAAGGTTTCCCTTCGCTGTACCTTATTGTTTCTTAAGTTGCGTTAAGTGGTGCCGGTTGTGTGCTGTCATGGGGTACATCTTTCCCTCAGTTGAGGAGCCGCAACTTCCCTCATGTTCCCCCAACTCTCCACTGAGCGGAATTGGGGGCCATGCCGAGGGTGCGAAGGTTTAGAGCTCTCGTGAACGGTTCTTGGCATGAGATTGTCTGTTCCTCAAGTCCCTAAGCAAGTCCTCACCTCGATTTTCGAACCTTGACCCCATTGACGGTCACCAATGTTTGTCCCTCGTCGTGCTCTCCATAACTTCGCCTATCAAAGGTCCAGTACGCAGGCGACCCGATCTTGAACGGTTTGTGTATGGGTGCTTTATACCAGAACACAGAGTCCTCTACATTCGAGGACCCTTGAGTGTTATCGAGGACCAAACATTCAAAATCGGCAGTGCACGCTTTAAAAACAGCCTCGAACACCGAGAACTTGGGTAGGACCCCGAAATAGTTTTCGTAGAGGCGCTTGCGGTTGTTCACAATAGGGTCATTGAAAACGAAGACATAATCACTGTTTGCTCGAATCGCTGCTGGAACATCCATGACGTACTGACTAGACAGGATGAGCGTGAGGTTGAAGTGTCTCCCATTCATGAAGAGGAACCGCATCGTTTCACTCTTCAAAAATTTTGCATCGAATAAGCAGTCGTCGAGCAGCAGGAAGCAGTCGGAACATCATAGTATATGTCCTTGCATTGCTTATGAACGTCATAGAGTCGTACAGCACATGTCTACTGAGAATCTCTTGTAATTAATGATGCATGGGATGCATAGTTGCACAATTATTTACAAGAATGAACCTCCGTGATGTTCTCTTTTTTACACTGTAGCCACCTGCGCAAACGTCTCAGCTACGAGAATCCCGGCCACATTTGCCCCCAAACAAAGGGGCAGGCTAAACGTTCGATCAGAACAAGGTTTTCGTATTCAATGTTTTACAGTATGGTACTCAAAGGGTACAGCTCTAACACCCTGAACCCTAAACCCTAAACCCCTACAATCGCTCCAGAACTGATATGTACAATCTGTTTACGTTTCGCTTCGCTCCTACACGGAGGAGCCAAGTCGAAGAATCACAACCGGGCAACCTCCCGTCACACTCAACCGCTGCTGTCAATCGCCGCCGCCACTGCCGCCCGTATCTCCTCGGCCTCGCGCTCCGCATCCTCTTCGGTCTCCTGCTGCTCGGCTATCGCCGCCCGCAGCTGCTCGGCGACGGGGACACGCGAGCGGGGGGGTGCAGGCTCACGCGCGCGCAGGTCCGCAGTCCGCTGGCAGTCCTGTTTGTGAGCCCGCCAGTGGGACTTCTGGCACTCTCTTCCGCAGTAGCGCACGCTCGAGCAACGCGAGCACTTGTACAGGGACCGGGCGTGGACGGCCTTGCAGTATGCGCACGTGGTTTCTGCGGCCATGTTCGGACCGACGCTGCTCTGCCGGAGGAACGGGTCCAGATCTTGCCGGAAGCTCTCTGAGAAGGCCCGGACTGCGGCGCTGGGCATGGGGGCTTGCCGGTCCGCCCCGCGGTAGAAGTGCACCGGGAGCAGCATGCCGGTGGACTTGGTGTCG